TCCATTGTGCGAATATACCACAGCTTCTCTAGCCATTCGTTTGTTGATGGGCACTTAGGTTGTTTCCAACTCCTTGCTATTGTGAACAAAACTGCAATAAACATGGGTGTGCATATATCTGCTTGGATGTCAGCTATGGTCTCTTCAGGGTATATTCCCAGTAGTGGAATTAGAAATACGCCAGTTCTTAAACAAGACTTCTAGGTAATACTAATGAGACATACCATACTGTCCCAGATGATACTAAAACTTCAAAAACTACTGCTTCAAACAGCCTCCCCACAGCCGTTGCATCAGTTTCAATGCATGGTGATTGCAGGACTAACACTGTCCCCATAGGACAAATAGGCTGTATATTTCTACAGAAGTAGCCTACCCCATCCTTTTCCACAGAGCTGCTGGTAGGGTTTGAACCACTGACCTATTGGTTAGCAGCCAAGCACATTTGATCATTATGCCACTAGGGCTTCTTGCTTTAGGCTGTTTCTGTTATTGTTGTCAAGCTTGACTCATAGTGACCCTATGAACAAAAGGCCCGAAGCCCCATGAGTGGCATCTTCTTCCTAAACAACATGCCTCCAGAAACTCTATGAACTTTGATAAGTGTCTGTTGTTGTTAGGTGCCATTAAACAGTCTCCAACTCACAGATGGCCCTAAGGACCAACAGGACAAAACCCTACCTGATCCTGTGGCATCCTCACAATCTCTTCCTTTCTCAAGTTCAAGGCTGCAGTCACTGTGTCAGTCCATTTCATCAAGACTCTCTTGCTGATTCTCTAATTTTCCAGATTTCTAATTTTCTAATGTTCTCCAGATACTGGCCCCTCTAATAAGATAGAGAAATTTGATACCATTACAGCCTTGCATACTGATACTGAAGAAGGCTTGAAGCGCCGAATATCAAATTTACTAATAGTAGACCAAATGCTATCTCAGGAAATGAGGGAGGCTTATTACAAGCTGAAGGTCACCTTGTGGCACTAAGGTGTTCCCTAAGAGTCAACATTGTTCTTAGTATCAACTGCCTCTTGGTCCAAGTATAGGTTTCACATTAGCACAATTAAATGTTCTGGGATTCCCATTCTTCTCAGAGTCAGCCTCAGTTTGTTATGATCCACGCAGTCAAATGCCTTTGCATAATCAATGAAACACAGATAGACATTCTTCTGGTATTCTCTACTTTCAGCTAAGATCCATCT